TGCATGGGCTCAACAGGCTCCCCTGGTAACAAGGTAGAGGGCTGGGCGGTTCTAATGACTCCAGCGTGAAAGACACTGGTGGGGCGAGGAGCCCTGACCGAGGGTCACCAACTCTGGGTTCCTTTTCGGCTTCTCTTTCACTCAATTGATTATCGATGCAAAGGGCTAGTGCAACTGGCTCCTCAAACGAGGTTTGAAGATAGAGACATCCATGCCGCACTCACTCCTGCAACTTCTTGTATCCTGCATACTAGGACGGCTCCGGCAGAGGCTGCCGAAGTTGCGGGAGTGAGTGCGGCATGGATGTCTCTAACGACCGTGTACATTTCCTTCTGTGTGCCACTGATCGCCTAGCACTGCTTATCCATATATTGCAACACTTGCTCATGAGTCCCTAATAAAACTCCCTGTGATTTCACTGCGGTCCAGAGTAAGTCTGCTGGGTCCATGTCTGCCCAGATCGTACTTTCACAGGCAGCACAGGAATAAACCCAGAAGCAGACACTGAATTCAAAATTATTCAATGCAAAGGTGAATTTATCTACTAGTGCACAGTGAATATAAACGCGGCGATTCTCGCGGAACGGCGGGTCTGGAATGAGAAAGGGAGAGAGAGAGGAGTTAGTGATGTGCACTTCCCCGGTGGGAACGTGATCGCACTATGGAATGTGTGGGGGGCTTACTTGACACCAGGGTGAGCGGTACTCTGGGGGAAAGCGGGCGAAGGTCCAGTATGTCGGGAAGACGAGAGAGAAACGTCCTTCTGAGCGGAACTGCTGAAGATAGCGGACAGGAAACAGGAGGGGAGGTGAGTGTTCTTCTGATTATACAGCTAAGCAAAAGCGAGCGTCCTTACTGATGAGCAGCCTTTGAGCAGCGACAGGGCTGACTAGGTGAGTATTGAGAAGGCGTGGAAGGTGAACCAGGAAGCCACTACTGTGAACTGTTACTGTGAACATAACATACAACTACTCAGAAAACAACTCAAGGAAAACACAAGAGAGCCAGAGTCAATTTTACCGCCATAGTAAGGCAGACAATGTGGCAAAGAGTGGAGGTCCGGGCTGCTCCTTAAAACTGCTGCCTTACTGCCGGTAATGAGTTACAGGTGGGCTCGAAAGTTGCCACCCCTGGGTGCACAGCTCTCTCAGCAGGGAAGAGTAGTAGATCCCCGAAAGCTGACACTTAAGCCATGTCAGTAATTAAGAAATAAAAGGCTGTTGGTCCTGATAATATACCTTTCGAGGCACATAGATGTGTAGGAGAGAAGGCAGTGGACCAAATTGTTTGATATGAATGTCTTGGACGTCAATGTCAAACGTTTTTGGACTGAAGGTACCTGCATTGCAACCACACATTACTCACCAAATTTATGGGATTTGAGTTATTGCTTACTTTCTTCAAATTCCCCCCAAAATAGAGGAAAAGTTAAATGGATTGACTTATTATTATTTTTCTTGCTTGTAATTTTTTGTAACTAGTCACAGTTGAGCTAGTCAGTTTTATGGTGGGGTTTGAAATAAACCAGCCTCTCTTTACTAGAGGATGTGTCTTTTGATATTCAGGCTGTATTTTGATATTAGAAATATTAACCGCTTTTGCTGAATGCAGAAACATCACTTGACAGCATTCTTTGTCTTCATGTGGCTCACAAATGGGAACACTCACATTGGCTCCGAGAGCACGGTGACTGACTAATAAAGCCTGGGACTATTATGGTCTTCCACCAAGCTGATATTTACTTCGGGAGATTCTGAAAATATCCTTTCATCTACAGAAGCCTCTGAGGCAGAGGTTCCAACATGATTCTGTCACTTGCGTGTATTATTGCCACAACCCTCATTTTTCAGGATTTAGAGCTGGGGGGTTAAGTAAAACGTTAATCATAGTTTATCAGATAAATTCAAATACAATGCAGTTATCCTTAGTCAAAGTTAAATTTAGGAAGGTAGAGGAAAATTCAGAGGAATGAAAAACCTATGTCATTAAAAAAAAAGAGAAAGGAAAAGACAGAGAGCCATGGTTAATTACAAGTGACAGATAAATGCCAAATTCATGACCGGGCATGCTGAGAGCTTAAGGTCAATGACGTGTGGACCCTGTGTGTTTGTGTGTCTGCGTGTGCGCTTATAACTGCCTGCCTACCCAGAATAAAACTGCATGTCTCTGTCTAGTAATGTCATTAATCACCTTTGGTAATAAACACAGTTGACGCCAGGCCCAGAAACTGTACAGTTTCTTGATGGTTTGCTCTATATGCCAGAATCCCTGTAAGTGTGTGTGTGTGTCTGCAGCACAGATGTCATAACCAATTAACAACTTAGTAGCAACATAAAATACCCCTAATGAATTGTATCTGGTAATGCACTGAATCCTGTGAATGTGTGGTTGCGATCTGAAAAGGTGTCTTGTAGCAGAACTCAAATTGTCCCGAAAGAGTAACATTATTTTTCATTAGGAATCAGGCAGTATGTCTCCCTCCATCACTGAGTGTTACACTGAAATACCTAGCGAGAAAGAGGGAGGGCAAAGAGGCAATTCATATAAAGAGAGATACAACTAGAAAAATTTAAACTGCAATAAGTGTTATTTTCTTTTTTTGTTTGCCACTTTGAAGAAGCAGAATATATTGTGACATCACATTACTGGACCATTGTTCATGCATGTCTGATTTGTGTACGAATATACCATGTTGTGGCAGAGGTGTGATCTCTGGCTCTGCTGCAGGGGAGGGGTGATATGGCAGGCTCAAAAAGCAGGGCTGTGCAGGCTGCCAGGGACGCTGTGGACAATCCAGTAATCAAAATCTCCCATATTTAAATGACGCTGGGACCAGAGCAGGAGAGAGCTGGAGAGCTGTCCAACTGGAGCTGAAAAGTACCAGTAAAGTTTTACATTTACAATAAAAATTGCTTCACAAGCACATTCTGTCTAGTGTGTGGTGACTGGGGTTCACACATGTGTTTGAAAGTTATATTGTGGACGCTGGCCAGCCACTGAATGGTGAGCTCGTGTGTTGTAAAATGACACAGCCATACATATGAGCGAAATGAAAACCGTTCACTGAATGAAATGAAACTTTCCAAATTGGTAGCAGCAACTAGGGGTCATTGAGTCAATAATGCATGGCTAGAAGAAGGAAAAAAAGCATCTTGAAGAACATATATTAGATCATATATTTGTGTGATCACAGCACTGTCTTACTGGCTGGAAGAAGGAAAAACATTTGCTTAAACAACATTGGTACTCCTGTCTACTTTATTACAACACCTTTAATTGCTGTAGTTTCATAATGCTGTGCTACGTTTTGCACCTTACATGTGACAGTTATCTTGGCTGGAGCTACATAGTAGCATTGCTAGAATCAATGAAAATCATTGTGCTTTGTTAAAAAAAAAATCGGTTTTTTTAAAACAGCTTTTATGTTGCAACAGCAGGCTTTTGTTCCTCAGCTAACAATGTAAAGTATTTTAATATATAACAGCATTTCATTATATACAACTTTTACATTAAGACTTTTTGTCAAGGCAATGGCTAAATGTAAAAATGCTGTAGGGGCAGAAATAAGTAGAAGTATTTTTGGCTGCTCAGCTGTATGAAATGAAGAAAATAACATGTCTAGCATGTCTCATCTGGTCACAACAGCATGCTCTGAAGCTGTCATCCTGGCCTCGGGTCAGTGAGATGTCAGAGAAGCGTCTGGGTGAGCAAAGACACCCAGGAGCAAGGAGACAAGGAACCCTTTAAACAAATTAGGAACTAGGTGATTTATTATTTAGACTGTGTTTAATGAAGCACTTTTTAATTGTGTGTAATTTTACGCTAGACACTGCACTTCTTCTGATTCATCTGCAACACTGTGGAAACAAAGGGCAGCCTCTGGAGATGAAAAATTAAGCCTTACTGCAGTTCGTCTAGGTACCAGTTGAGGCTGGGTGCAAATGAGATTCAGTCCCCTCTAAACTTTCATGTTGAAATGTCTATCATTACAGGATTTAAAAAGCATTTTTATGACATGACATCAAACAAAATCTTAGCCTCTAAGGATAGTTTCCTTTATAACAACTCCAGGGCCAACACGTTGGATCAACTTTTTTATAACTCATCCACCTGGATAATTGAGTTATGGGCATTACCATATTGATTGACAGATGTTCCAATCCTAGTCATCATCTCTGAGGTCTCATCCACTACCAGGGGCAGATCTAAAGAAATTTTCTTAGGGTGGCATGGAAATCAAGTGGGGTGGCATAATTACACAAATGCAGGAGTTACATTCCGCATGGTTAAAGTACATCAAATGCAGTAAGTATAGACATGTTTAATATAAATATATTTTGTAACTGTAATATTTTCTTTAACCCACATAATTAAACATTTCAGTTACATAAAACATGCAAATTTTGATTTTATGTACTATATAGTCTATATAATAAATAAGTATGTAGTCCAGTAATTCTTAAAAATGTAGTAATCATATAACTCTTAGTACCATTAATGTTATTATTATTATTGCTGTTGTAGTTATCATTTGATCATTATTTACATTTCCAAAACACCATGTGCCAAACGATTCTTAGAATTACAATTTAAAAAAAAGTTCTGAAAATGGCCATAAGGCTCTTGTTCTTTCCTGGTTGGCACATCTCTGCAACATTGTTTGGAAGTCTGGTGGTGGAACACGGCACCAGCACTTTATCCTCTGAAGAACAGTGTCGACAAGTTTGCCCAATTGGTCAATATGTGTGTGTGTTTTCGGACTTTGAGGCCGCATTTAACTGCATCTCTTAGGGCTGTTTTGTAGCATGAGGCATCATGTCTGTTGTTACAAACTGGGCATTAGTAGAGTTGCAGTGACAGCTTCAGGTTCACATTGTTGGAATGATTCTGTTGATGGTTTTTGAACAGAACTTTTACGTCCATACATTGGTGTAAAAAAGTGTTTCAGATCATTGAACAAATTTAAATATTAGACAATGATAACACAACTAAACACAAAATGCAGTTTCTAAATCAAAGTGTTTATTATTTATGTCAAGGTGCGTGGTGAGAACAGGACCCAAATGCAGGACTTTCCAATCAAAGACAGTGCGTTTGATTTACAGTGAGACATGTAAACAATCGTGAAACAGCTTTCAAAGAAGTGGTTTCCGTGAACGTGCTCCCAACTCCCGCTCCGTGCTCCGTGGTGTGACAGGCAAACAACTCCAACACTTGATATTTACAAATGCTCCAATCCCATGACACACTCCTCTCCAAGTTCCTAACAAGACAAGGTGTAGAGATCAGTTTGGTGAACTCACAAAAACACACAGACTATTTCCACTCAGAACTGGGACTTCACTAACTCAGTAACTGAACGATCCAGCGTTGACTCAAGCTCAGTCAAACAGTTTAGTAACCACTTTGCGAAAGTGATCAGCAGCACCTGGAATCTAGATGGAAGACAGGTGTGGCTGGCTTCAGCGTGGGAAAGACCTTCTGGCCTGATGACGCCTATAAACTGGCACACTGGAAAACACACATAGACATAAAGGAGGAGCCAAAAAAAAAACACAAAGAAAAACACACACACAGGCAGCAGATCGACTGGCGGAGACGATCACAATTTAGGAGGGAAAATCTAAACCTACATCGTATATAGTGAAAATAAAAATGAATATTTAGGGAAAGAGATTGAGAGATATGTCACTGTAAGACACTATATAAAAGTTACTAGACCAGTTCTAGGTTGCAGGAGTGGTGGAGCACAGCACAGTGAAGAGACCAGAACTGGAAACCTTTAAATGAAAAGCTGGCATAAAACAAAAAACATATAAACTAAACAAAATCAGTGGGAGCTAAGTAGGTCACACTTAACTTTTCATAGTTCAAGATAGTTTTATAACTAAAACTATCAAACCCAACCTTGTTCCAGATTTTGCTGTCAAAAAATATTTGGCATGATGTCTTCATTCAGACTGAATTCATGTATTATTTTCTCCCTGTCTATTAGTGCCATCACATTGGATGAACTGGTGCGACTGATCCCAAAACTCAAACAAGTACGAGAGGGACTAAAGCTCTGTGATTTAGATGATGTGTGGGCACACCCTCATCAGATTTGCCAGTAGCTCTTAGATTTAAAGCATTTAAAACAAAAGGCAGAAAAGCAACAATAAAAGTTAAAACCTCAAGATGTTTTCCAACATTTTCGGACATCATTTTAGAGACAACCTTAAACATTACATAATACTTACCACTTTGTTAATTCTTGTTGATGGCTAACATCCAGCAGAGGATAATTTACACTTGGCACTGTCTTTATGGATCCTTAGTCCATTTTGCACCAATTTACAGTTGGCTCTACAATAGATGTGCCTGGTTCAACTTCCAGTCACAGCCGCGACAAATGTCCAACGCAGTTCATAGAAGCAGTGCCAAAGTCTTAAAACTATTAAAGTCTTGAGAAAATAGGTTCTCCAGAAAAGGCTTCAGTCTGAAGTGTTTCTTTGGTAGAGTGGGGCTTCTGCTGCTGCTCTCTTCCTCTGCAGCCTCTCTCTTCACACCCTGTACAAACATCTTTAGAAACTGACAGAGCTCCGACATGATACCTCTGCCCTCTGAGCTGTCCGTGACTCTCCAGCGGTTTGTCATTTCACTTCTCTCTTCTGTGCGATAAATATATATATCTTTTGCTGCTTTTTATTAACCAATCTTTCTTCACACAGTAAATTAAATAATTTGTGCATTACAGCTAAACTAAGCTTATTTTAACTGAGAATCAATTGCTAATGGGACCACAGAAGAAATATTTGCAGGAGGATGTTGGGCATATGTCATGACCCAAAATTCAAAAGATTAAATAAGCTGATCAGGGCTTAACAGAAATTTTGTGCAAAAAAAATTGTGCAAAAAGTATTAAATCACCCTTCATTTCTTTATGTTTTGCTTCCAATGAGATAGACTGTTTTGACCTTTTTAAAATTGTCTAAAGTAATCTGCTCCTGTGACAGATTGGCGACCTGCCCTCCCATACTGTGATAGCTGGGATAGATGCTGAATTGAATACATACTTTTCAACAACTGTGAAATTGCTTTGTTGTTATTTTGGTTGGTACTCCTCAGTTAATATCACTCCCTCTCTCTATCTAAAAGCTGTTTTACTCATTAAGCACTGAGCTCATGTCAGCTTTATTAAGCCTTGCCCTCTGAGGTAAATGAGATTAGCCTAAAAAAAAGTCTATTTATAGCCTATACAATAATATTTAAGTCTTAAAGATCTCAAGAGGTTATGCCAATCATGCATTATACAACAAAAGGGGTTTGAGAGTTGATTCTGAGAGGCACATTTAACTCCAACAATAACATTTCTTTAACTGGTCACATTAAAATTGAAAAAGACACATTTTCTCTAATTACTATAAATGGAATCCATCTGTGCATGTTTCCAGCTGTGTGTTATGAGCATAAATCATGAAAACATGGACAAACTCTCTCTCACACACTGCAACAGATTACACCACATAACCAACCGTTTTTAACAGTGCCACTTACAGCGATAACAAAAACTATTCAGCTTTATTAACTTTGATACTTTATCCATCAGTTGTCAGCCGACACATTATTCTCATAATTCTCACATTCGGCTTGTTTCTTACGTTTCTTGTATTTTTGCACACCACTGTTGCTTGTGAAGCTTGCACAAAAGAATCTCACTTACGTGTGCTGTACCAGTGTAACAGTAATGTGACGTGACAATAAAAGTGATATGATTTGACTTTAATAACTTAAATACTTCACTCATTCTTTGCAAACTAACACTTTGATGAACACTTGAAAATGTTTATTTTTTTTGCTCATCTGCTGACATTCAAGCTCCAGTTAGTTGCCGCTCCGCAACTTTTACTCTTCATCCATTATGTTTCATAATTGACGGTTTAATGGCTTTTATGACTAAGGTACAACTTAATTTGCATTGCAGTTCCATTCATGTCACAATTAATCTGGTTCAGTTTAGAACAGTCTTGTCCACAACACCAACCCTGGAGTTATCAGCAGCAAATTTGATGCTTCAACTAGAGTATGGAGCTGGCGTTGATGTTCATGCTTGATTACATAATTTCAACACATTTGGTAAACAGTGCAGTTATGTATACTAATTAAATATATGTGAAAAAATAGCAGTAAACTCTGGAGCAGAGAGTCTAGACAAAAAACTGCAGGTTCTCTAATGACTCCAAAATTGTCTCTCGCCACATCTTAGCCCAGCAACAGATTAGCAACCTATCCAGAGTGTTGATGAGGTGATGAGAGCTCACAAGCCCAGAATCCCAGTTGGTCACAACCAATAGCAAAGACCAGGAAGCTGAGAACAACAGCGTACTATGTGAGAACATGCAGGAAAGTCTGCACCAGCGTCCATAGCCCCCACGTTGATCCAGAAAAAGTCAAGCAGCATGTATGTATGGAAGAATCCTAGATGAATGCAGCATGAAGTCAATTTGAAGTAACTGAACATGTTTCTGCAGATTCACCTGTATTAGTGTTGCTTAGCATAAATTTGCAACAGTTTGTGTCATCCTCAAGGCTAAAACCTTTATGGTTCCAGCATGTGATGTCCATGTGATATTTTAATTTCCAGCTGACAATTAAGTAACCATTTATGCAGGCACTGCACTATTCTTGTGAACAAGTGTCAGCACCAAGACAAAACCTCTACATCAACATTAGTATACGATTAAACGTCCAAACAGGAAACAAAACAAACTTTAACTTTTAAAGCAGCTTCCCCTTTTTGCTTCTTACTTGGCCAACTCAAGTTTATCACACTTTTCAGTGCTTAAATTTCACCAAGCATATCAATTTGGACTATCAGTATAATTTTAGATTAATATTTCTCGCTAAAAAAAAAAAAAAAAAAAAAAAAAAAAAAGAGACAATGACTTAATGAGGCATTTATCAGCCATTTATTGTTAATTAAGGAAGTTAACATGGTTAACTGCATTGAAAGTCATACAATAAACCTTTAAGCGTTGTGAGAGGTTCCTCCCCATGCCAGAGGAGGAAAGCTGCAGGAATATACATACAGTATATTTTATTGGCAAGTAGATATGTTTAAGTACATTCTCCTCTACCTGGAACTCATGTACAATTTAAAAAATAGATTTTGTTTGCATTGCGATCACCTTTTTTTTTTTTGTTTTTTTTGTTCAGGATGTTAAGGATGAAAGTATTCACATTTAAGTGTTATGGGTTCTTGAACGGCGGTGGAACTAAAGAGCACTGTTAAGTTGGTTTGTTCTTTTTAATAGCTATCACATACACATAGACTCGCCTTCTATGCGTATGCTTATGTATCTAAATTGCTTACATGATAAATGGAAAGCAGTTTTATCATCTCAGGGAGAAAAAACAAAAACAAAAAAAAAACAAAGCCAAGAATGTAACTTAGAACAAGTATGGCCGTCAGCAGCCACAATGTCACAGCGCACACGCGCACACGCGCACACACACACCACAAAAACACTGTAAGCACACATTCCACAAAACATTAGGCAGGTACAAGTCAACCATTCAACGATAAAAACTGCATACAGTACACCACACTACAGAAGATCTCAGTCAGATGATGGCGTTTACACGGGAGATGTTCCAAAGAACACTTGCTGTGGAGCAGCCACATATTTGCAGAGTCCTCCAATGAGAGGAAGCAGCTCCCGGAAACACTGATGTCATGATTTTTTTTTTTTTTTTTTTTTTTTTTTTTTTTAAAATCACAGAAAGAAGCTGTTCAGTCCAAAATCAGTGGTTACGGAGAACTATTCACAAGGCAAGCTGCTTCTTCCTTTTTCTCAAAAGGAGAGATTCTGAGTCAGCACTGTTACAGCAAGTTCAATCGCAAAACTGCAGTTTCTCAAGGCGTAGTGATGGTAAGCAAATGTGCAGAAACTGACAATGCTTGACAAAATACTGAGGCCACATGTTTGAAAAAAGTGACTATCCTAATATTGAAGCTGATCGTGAAGATAAAGAAACAGTGACATTTAAGAAAATACATTTTCAATTCTTACTGTTAGCTGATAAGATTCCACTCTCATATCTGCACTTTGAATATAAAGCTGGCTTAGCATAAGGCTAGTCTGTATAAGCACAGTCAAGAATCGCTTCCACCATACGCTTCCTCAAGGTGATGTTAGTCATCCTTCGAGCACTGCACTATAGATGGCAATTTCAATCAGTCAGTCCACTGCCTTAGTCCAGACTTAAATCATCTCAGTAACTAACAGATGACCAGCCATTAAATTTGGTGCTAATCTTGAATGCAAGGTACATTCAAGTTTCCCTGAGGATACTCATGTAGTGCCATTATGAGATCAAATTGGTGAATATCTACAAAAGTGATGACATCTTTAAAAACCCTTTTTTTATTTTGCATGCGATGCCAAATGGTAAATATTAGTAAGTTACATGATAACAATACAATTTTCATATACCCGGCTGGGCCTAAGGAGGACCTGATAGCTGCTCCATGCAGACTCTACAATAAACATCACAAGTTACGTAAAAGTGAACAAACCAAAAAGAATACGGGTCAATTTGAACCAGGTGTCTATTACTATTATCTGAGAATAAAGAGCACCCAGACATTAGCAGATATAGAAAAAGTAACACAAGTACTTTTCATAAGTCCAATGTGTAACTTAAAATCAGCATGGTTTTATGGATTTGATAGAACGAAAGTACGTTTCTTTACAGATAATTTAGAATAGTGATGTCATTAAACATGTATACAAATACTATTAATCCGAATATTTGTTTTATTGATTTACCTTTAAGTAGATTTAATATAGCCGTTCCCTCGTTTTCAGTCTCTAAGCAAAACTAAGCTAAACAAATAGCTACTAGCTATAGCTTCATAGTTTACAGATGTGAGAGTGGGATCCATCGTATTATCTGGAGTAAATGATTGTTTTTCTCCAAAATGTCAAAGTATTCCAATAAAACTGTTCACTTTGATTGACACACAAAAGAAAGACCAGAAAATACTCTCCTATAAAATGTGTGAATGTTTGTTTGTGTGTATAAGCTCCTGAATCCAACTGACCACAACCATAACAATTTATCTACTACCAAAACTGATGTGTGATTACTTCCTAGAACAAACTTTTAAACTTAAGTACATGTGGTGTTCAAAATAGGCAATGGTATATAAAGGCATTTATCCTTAACAAGAAAAGAATAATAAAAAAAAGGGAAAATGCACTTACAAAAAAAAGGGGGAAAAAAAAAAAAAAGAGACATCTTTTTGGCAGCCATCAGCATATGGCAATGCCTGCAAATGACATACAGAGACTCCCCTGAAGTCCTAATATGTCAACATCCTGACTTTGCAACATAAGTGCATAGCTTCAGGAAACTCCTCCAAAAATCCAGATTCATAAATCCACCAGATGAATCAAGGCTTAACTGAAACTAATGCTGCCAATTCAAAGTGCAGCATTAAGGACATTCGGCTTGAGCTCTGGAATGATTAACCAACACTGTTAATCCTAATGAAAGCGTACTAAACTCGTGAACTAGGAGACAAAGAAGTTAATTACACTCCAAGAACCTGAATTTTTGTTTCTCTTTGAGGTGTTTTTGCCACAGAAAAATTAATTTGTGTAGTTACAAATCAACAGTAAAAACCACTGGAAGTTTTTCCCCCACTTTTGTTGAGCCCAAAGACTGTATAACTAGGTGCAAAATGTGAATAAAATTATGTGTGGGTTTGGCACAGGCCTTTTTCAGTAAACTCTTCACTTCCATCTACAAACGATCAATTTCACTTTCCTTTGGTTAATTTAAAAAAAAAAAAAATTTACACAGAAGAATGAGAGATGAGCAAAGATTAGTTAGGTTCTTTCCCTCTGAGGAGGGTGCTCGCTGTTGGCAGCCCTTTTTGCAGTGAGATTTACAAAGCCTAAACCCAAACTGTGGTTTAGTAGTAGATTTAGCATGTTAGGCTTCTCAAAGGCTCTTCTGACGATCACAGTGGTTTAGAATTCAACTAGAGGGAAATTGTTCACTTAAGAATAAGCAAGAACAGGAGAAACCCAGTTTCTGGTCTCCCTCGTATCTTGTGTGTGTGTGTGTGTGTGTGTGTGTGTGTGTGTGTGTGTGTGTGTGTGTGTTCTTGTTTTCTTTCCCCCATTGTTCCATATCATTATGGTCAAGTCTCAGGCTTCAAGGTGTGGCTGGCGAAAAAACTGTCAGGTATCAAGATCCTAAAAAGAAAAAAACAAACAAACTTGATTTAATTTGATTGTCTGGATGCAATACTGGTCTGTGTTAGATAGGGGTGGGGTGGAGGGTGGGGGGTGGGGGGGGTGCAAGATGTTATTTATGCACTGAGGATTATTTACATGCATTGTGACAAACTGGCAATTTTCAGTTGTAGCATTTTCATATCAGCACAATCCTGAGGTGAAACATTGGATGGCACTGCTTAAACATTGCTTCTTTTCTCTAGTCAGATATATCAGTCAGTTAAGCTAATTATTTGCATTTTAACTCTTAAATGACTGAAAGGGAACACTTAAACATTGAAAATGTACAACTTGTTATTGTTTCATAGGAAACGTGTAGGATCATTTATGCTTCAAGGAAATATTTATGTTTTGAACATTACATACTTTAATTCTATTGCAATTTTCCACTAATCACTGCATTGTAATCCCACTGACAAAAGTCACTTGAATGAATGATGAAAAAATTTCTCCTACTGAAAACACTCCTTCCAGGTAAAGTGAATGAATTTTCTTACCTGGAATATTAAACCTGCATCAAGATTAAATTGTAATGTCGTAGTTTTGATGCAGTAGTGATTGGTTAACAGACTAGAACACGATTCAGAGATATCCTGAATTACATGTGGTTTAACAACTGAAAAAACAGAGCAGCAGGGGACACCATGAACAAACCTACAGTTTTCAACAACATTTTGACAAAGCCTATAGCTCAGTTATCCAAAAGCTTTTATCTCTAGGACTGATCTCTGTGAGGACGAACAAGTTGTTAAGTTTTCAGAGGAAGGTGCAGGTTTCTAAAAATGGAATAAAGATCTTGTGGAATGTCTTTGTGCTTAAAATGATTTAAAAACATAGTTAAGAGCATTAGAACAATTAGGTACAGATAACAGAAACAGTGTAGGTATGAGAAAGATAAATGACCCCACTTAATAACTTGATTGCTTGACATTTAATGTACTAACAGTAGGTATGAAAAAATGCAGGAAAGAAAAGAGGACTGGCACTTTTCATCTTCCAAATAAGGAAACAGATTACAAGTCTTTAGCAGAAATGGTCAGAGATGTTACATGGATATTTGAGGTGTGCTTACTTAATCACAATGTCAGCTCATGCATTAAGTGACAATAATAATAATAATAATAATAATAATAATAATAATAATAATTTAAAAAATGTTTTCCATTATTATAATTTAAATTTCCCTTCAGTAAATTTAACCTTCTTCTCAGCTATATATAAACTACAAAAGATTAGAACACAATATTTAATTTTTTTTTAGGTAATCTAAAAAGGTAAAAGTTAATCAAAGCTAGTTTTGTTGTTTTCTCCTTAATTAACAATAACTCTGTATTTAATGCTATAAAGACTGACCTTTATTGTTTTAACTACTGTAGGCAACTGTCTTTTTCTAATTCCTTCTCTTTGACAAGCAGAACTGGTTGTATTTTTGTTTTTTAGATCAGCTTCCTCTCATTTAAAGCTATGACAGTTCTCTCCGTATGTTCTTCATGGATTTACCTGGAGCTGATAGAGCACTGGTATCAAAAGGTGAATCTCATCTGAAGCTCTTCTGTTGCTGCATCAGCCCCACATTTTCATACACCCTGGAGCTGTCCTCCCTCATCCTGACAACAAATACAAATCAACAAGAAACTGTCAATGCTTTCTTTACAAGGGTTTAAATGCCACAGGTCATTTAAGAGGCACTTACTCTGTGCAGGTGGGAGTAGGAATAGGAGTGCAAGGAGGCAGAGGGCTCTGCTCTCCTCCAGTCAGGTCAGACAAAGAGTACTTAATGTTTGTGTACTCACGTCCCTTAATCTTACTTTTCTGTGGAGGAGAAAGCAGATGAATGGTATAAGTGTGAGTAGAAGTGAGGTGAAAAATAAAAAACAAAGTGCTGTGTACCTGCTCTTCTTCTATGCGCCTCTGCAATGTTTCTATGTAGTGCTGTACAGCCATGTAGATGAATCTGTATTGTGCCTCAGTCTGCACCATCCCAGAACGCTGAGAACGAACCATCTGTATGGTCTTCGGCACATCAATGTCACAGTCCACTCCTGCACCAGGAAAAATAAATAAATAATTTAACAAATTTAATGCATTTTGCATAGTCAAAAATAGACTCCAGACTGCAGTCCAGATCTTGTCCCAAACACCATTCTTTATAGAGTTTATAAGTCAGGGAAACCAAATATGCACATTTTTGTTGATGACAATGTAATAGCGTAATCTTCAAACAGCTGGTCACTTTTTCAAGAGAACCTGGAAAAGCGCTTCGACGTATTTGAAAATATGAGACATAACAGTCCCCTTATCTCTCAAGGTATCAGCTGACCAGGCACTCATGACATCCAGGCATGAGTGCAGAAACATTTGGACTACATTCTCCAGAAATGATCAAATTATATATATTTTTAATGAAACAACTCGGCAAGCAAAAGGGGAGATACAAGTACTCTGTGGGATTGCATCAGGAAGGTTCATCTCGCATAAAACTCTGCTAATATCAAATATGAGGAGCTACCTGCTGTAGCAACCCTTTGTGACAAGGGAGCAACAAAGCTTAGATTATTTATTCTAAACATCAGTTGTCTCTTATAAGTTTTTGAAGTCTAGTAGAATTTTAAAAACAAAACAAAAAACATGTAATCTGTGTGTGTTTTTTCTTGGATAAGCAGAGAGTTATGTAGACGTGTATAAGACATCATCCTCACACGTCTAGACTGCTGAGTGTTCGTTTCAAGTACTGGCAAGAAACTGGCAAGTATGCAAGCACAAACTGTGTAGTTGCTATTAAGAAGCAACCAATGAAAGAACTGGCCCTAGGCCAAAGTAAGTTTTGACTAGATCAGTGTTAGCCCTAGCCCCTGACTGTGACAGAGGTTAAGGTTGACAGATAAAATAAATTCATGATACAGTGCAGGACAGGTACCATTAAATTAAATACAAAGTTATTTAATTATTTCACCAAATATATATCTGTCCTCACAATCACACTTAAAATGCTCAGACTCAGAGCAGACATTAATATGTATGCAGACTGAAACAAAAATCAATTTTGGGAAAAAAAAAAAAAAAAAAAAAAAAGAAAAAGAAAGAAAAAGAAATGCATTTACAGACTAAGAAAATATGCAGAAGAAAATATGGAGAATTGTGAGCTTGGTGCTACAGTGGCCACAGAGTGCATGTGTACTCACCTTTTTCTCTGATCACATCTATTAGGATGTCAATCACTATAAAGGTTCCTGTCCGCCCAATCCCTGCACTGAAAAACAAGACTTTGAATAACCATATCTCTTTCATTATCAATGATAAAGTGTTCTGACTGTGGAATTTGAGGTACCTGCAATGTACCGTTATTGGCCCAGCATCCAATATGCTCTCCTGTTTAAGGTTGACCTCTTCTAAGAAGTCAAGTACACCACCTGGGTCAGTGGGGACTCCATGATCTGGCCAGGCCCTAAAGTGGTACTGCCAAACTGTACGTTCTGTGTTGCCCTGAAAAACAACAACAAAAAACAGAGTCCATAATCAAAGGGGTTCATGGGATTTGAACAGGTTTTAAATCTGTCATCTTTAGTAATTTTTGGCATTTATTGCAGTGAACTTCAATGATGGATAACAACTTTTTTTTTTTTTTTTTCAAAGAATCATCATGTTAGATTTGCACAGTATATTTTCATACAAACAAACAACTTACCTGTCCAACTTTGGAAAGTTTCAGTTCTCTTAAGATGTAGTCATGTGCAGACGTCTCTCTGACATTGCGAACACGCATAGCCCCATACTCCTTCAGCGCTGACACGTCTGGCCAGTATTTCACACACTTACTCTGTTGAAACACAATCACATAGTTACACATTACATATTCATCAGTAGTAATAGTAGAACATTTGAAGTTCCTGTGAATGTCGATATTTTCTGTAAATATGTTAAACACATTTTAATTTTTTTAAAGGAAACATACATGCATACATACATACATACATGGAAATTTCACATACTAGAAGTTACTGCTAATATTAGCTAAGATAGTCAACTTCCTGATAACTAGCTATTTTTGTTTTTTTACTTTTTCCACACTATATCCTTTACTTTGAACTTTTGTATAAAATTTTGAAGTTTTGTAGTTTTTCTTTTTGTATTTGTACATTTTTCTTATTGTGGTTCTAATTGTATTATACTCAACTTTTTGCATGGCATTCTATTCTGTTGTTCCCTTTGGTGCATCTTTATTTAATTTTGTTTACTGTGCTCTACATTCTAATTTTATATTTAACTTATTGAGTCGTTTTACTGTCAAGATATTTTCTCATGGGTTGTGTATGACATTTTGGCTGCTGTAAAAGGATTTTCCAACTTTTGGGATGGCATCTATCTTGTTTTATCTTAAACACGTCAATTTAGGAGCGTTGATAGTGTCTCACAGAAGTTCTTTACCTTTGTTTTTTTTTGGGGGGGGGGGGTTGTTTGTTTTTTTTTAAAGACACTGGGAACTTTTAAGTATATTTTCTAAACATGCAGGGTTAAAGTTGTGATCAGTGCATTTCAGCTTGAACCATGATAAACCTGTCATGCAGTTTTGGTGCTTTAACTTTAAAGGTAGTTTCAAACTGTTAACAAATTAATAAACATTACTAATTAACTTATTTTTATTTAATAAAATACTAACTCAAGCTTAATGACCTAACAGTTTAGAATTTGTTAACAATGGTGTTTATCCCTGACAATCAACCATATTGTCTGCTTAGATTAATTATTTTAAGAATTTGAGCAGCACACAAAAACGGCACATCTTGAAATAGTATCTTAACCTTTAAGGTAGAATTGCAGTTCCGTGATCAGTCGCTTTGCTTACCTTCCCTCTTTCTACCTCTTTGGTGGTCATGACGATGACTCGTGAGTCCTCCTGAAAAACCATCCTCCAGAAGTCACTGATGGTGTTATGTAGACAGCCCTGAGTGGCAATGTAGCTCTTCTTCACCTTGGTGCCTTGATTACACTTTGAGTCCAAATCCGGCTGCATAAACACACATAAGCATGACACAGTCAGCAACTGAGAAATACAGCAAACAAGAACACAAACTGACTGATCACACAGGCTGATGAATAGCGGCGTGAGTGAAAGTTGACATATGAAGCCATCTACATACTATCACATACATATGCAGTGTGTGCAATGTGTGTCCCAAAGATGACATGAGTTTACCATGACAGTGGATACTACCATGATGATATTGGCGTTGATATAGTCAGAGCCTGGCTCATCTGGGTCCCCGTCTTTCAGCACCACGCGTGTGTGGTCGACTGGAAATGGAAATAAAATCAGTAGTTAGTTGCCTCAAAAATCCCTTCAGGAGGTCCTTGAGCAGTTAAACTGGAGGGTTTTTATAGACAAAAATGAGTGATTTTCTTACAAGGCAGAATGTTCTTGTATCGGTTCTTGTTTTTGTTCTCTGGTCTCTGGCCCTCTTTGCGACTGTAGAGCAACTTGCACTCTTGTTGCTGTAAGGTCTGAATAGGAAAAAAAGAGGAGAGTCACATTTTAAAATGCCATTTCCAACCAAGATTTCTAAAAATTTTTAATCACACTTTATCCAGAGATGGTTTTCTGGGGGAAATAACCCAGTAAATGAGCAGTTTCTGAAATACTCTGACATCAACAATCATGCCACATTATGTTAGGTGTCAAGTTATTTGTTAGCCTTAGCAGGCAAGCTGAAGTTAGCCGACACTAGGCATATTTGTTGAGTGAAGCCTTGCGAACACGAGATTTGGCCTTCAGGAGAAAATTATTGTCAACATTAACAGGAAATTCAATACATAGCAAGACTCAAACCCTTAACCTATCACTCTTCTGGTTAATGTTAGTGAATACAACTATCGCTGATGCAGACAAATCACAAGAAATCGTATATAAACAAATACTATCTTGAGTAGAAAAGGTCAGCTAATTCCAAAGTCTGCCATTTTCAAATTACTTTATTAGCTTACATTACTGTATGTTGCCAGTACAGGCATAAGGTTGCAACTAACTGCAATTTGCTTGCTAACATTATTCCTCCTGAAATCATGTACGGTACGTAGAAAAGCTAATTCGCTAGCTTGCTAAATTATTTCACTGGCTACTGTGATCCATGACACTAATTTACAGTTAATGTCCAACACTATTAATTTTAGTCAGCTGTCAATTTTATAATTAGGGCTACACGGTGATCCTTATCACAATTATTTGGTTAAATATTAAGATCACAATTACCTATGATTATTCATTGATTATAGTGACACCAAAAAAAATTTATCATGTAAACAGAACCCGGTTTTCACTAACTTCACCTAATTTATGGTTATAAATTTATCTTTGCAGACAAATAATGAAGTCTTTCACTTCATTCACTATAACTCCATGTCTATGCAAGTATGAGGCTTCACAATGGCATAAAAATGCTACAGAAGCTATGTCCATATTTTAAACTGTCTGCACATAAAATAGATATGCATGAAAGCATGAGCAACAGGAGGCAGTTCACTTCACATCCAGAATCAGAATCAGAAACTTTATTGTCATTGTCATGAGAACAACGAAATTAAGAATGGTCCCCGATCATTGCATCATCCCTAGCAATATCAAAATATAAATAAAACAATAAAATTCAATAAATAAAATAGATAGAATACTTAAAATACTAATAAGATATAACAGTAAAACATTCACATACATTCCCACACACATGCTTCAGACCGTGCATAGATTAACACAAGAGTGGCGTGATGGACATTTAATATGTAATAAAGTTATGACTATTTACTTTCATTTTTAAAGATGTCGATAATACAAAAGTACACGAATAATAAAAATTAACACAAACGTAGGACCACTCACCTCAAATTCTTCCCAGAATCCCTGTTTGACCTTGTCTGTTGCCTCCGCTAGTTTGCTAAGCTCCCTAACTCGACTCTCAATCTCTGCTGCGTTAATACGGGTAGTGTTCAGAGGCTGCAAAGACCAAGAGTCAGAAGAGAAACAAATCAGGAAATGTTTCCAATGTTTCTCTTCCTTTACAACTGAACAGATTCTGAGGCAGGTAATATAGGCACAAATGCTTGGGAACACATGGCTACAGGAGATGGGTCAAACCTGTTTAAGCTGAAGCACAGTGCCCAGAGTTTCAACCATAGGGTTCTTCTTGTAGTGCTCTACCAAGTCTGTGAGGGAGTCAAACTTCTCCCCTCCACCCACATCATACTTCAGGTCATGCTGAGCAAAAGGACACAGGTACATCAGCAATATAATTAAAAACAGACTAGCCTTATGTTACCAGAATCAAGATACAGATGTCTTTTGTATACAACCAATTCATATCTATGTATACAGTCCTCAAGACCTAGGTGAAATTTTACAAGGTATGTTAATTGACTGAATATCTTGTCTTAAAATACTGAGATGTTGTTGCTTTCAGTAATGTGCAAAAACTCTATATTATAGAAAATGAGTGACTGCAACACAACTTCTAGCTTATCCACCTTGGGTAGCAGCAGCTATACCACTGGGTATTATTAAAAAGTATTTTCTAAGAAAGCACTCTGCTTCTGAACTTGAAATTTTCATTACAAAAAAGAAAAAATCTAGGTAATCCATGTCATGATTTTGAAGAGGCAACTAAGTAATACTGAGTAATGCCACAACACCAGTCTGGCCTGTTAAGCAGCCAAAAGTTAAGAATAATTAAGGGCCAGGGCTAGCTGGTTAGCAAGGCTTTTAAAAAAAAAAAAAAAAAAGTCAACTAATAAATCTGCTACCCTTGGAAAGATGGAAAAGGATAAACTAAATTTCTAAATATACTTGGGTGGCTGCTGGTATACCTGCATGCTACATGATGCACAGAATTCAGACAAACTAAGAGGCAGAGTTTAGGTGTGGAAAACACACGGAGTGTGTACAAAACCTGGATCTTACCTGGCAGCGGATCATGACATGAGTGACTTTAGGTTTACTGTCACTGCTGTCTGTTTTGTCATCTCCAGTACGGACCGATAGAACAAAATCTCCCGGATGGCTCTGGCTCTCCCTCACCAGGAAACTGCCATTCTTGCCTTTCTCAGTGAGCAACTTCTCAGCCTCCCTGCCCGACAGGTGTCCGTGGAACCATCTGCAATGGGAAAATATGAAGGTAGTAGAATATATCACGTAACAGAGATGTGCTCTCATATTATGTAAACTGCAAGATCTGCCTTAGTTAACTTGAAGCAAGCACAGCTTATCAAAGATAAAAGACATAACATTAAAATCTGAAGCTTATAGTTCTTACTTACTGTTTAAGTGTGAATTGAACTGGCAACTATAGTGTTATCAAATAGTTTAAAAAAAACAAAACAAAAAAACAACACCTGTGTCCAAAATGGTCTTATGTAAATTTAATATACAAAATATACAAGGTGTTCAGAAATTATTGACAACTCATTTGGAGTTTGTTTTTTTTAGAACTTTTCTGCCACAAAAAATATTACATGAACATTAACACTTACCTCTCTGAGGTGGGATCTGCACAGTTGAGTGGATACTTCAGCTCAATAACATCACCGTTTTTCTCTTTCAGTTGTCCATGATGTTCCATGTAATACTGCACCAGCTCTGCAAGTGTGGCAAACTTCTCCCCGCCATAAAGGTCATAGTAATCTCCTGTGTTCTGGATCTTAATATGGGTGACTGCTCCATTTCGCCTTCAGAACAGCACAAACATTTATGTTACTATCACATGAAAGATCATCATCAGGTTACAAATGTAGGAACAACTGGCCTATGATCCATTTTTTACTCATATTTTGAGCTCAGATACAAGCTAAACAGCCAAAATATTATGTTACATATTATAAGTTATATTATAAGTCATAAAATTTGCAGAATTTTTCAGCGTGTTTTTCTCTAATTATTTTAGTTCTACCACCATGTTCTGTCCATTTTTGTACACACAAAACTGGTCTGTTTTTCACTCTTCACTGCCCTCTTCTGTCTTCAATTATATGACTGAATATTTTATTTTAAAAAATAGCTTTAATAATCAGTTTTGGGGAAAGGGTTAGGGAGGGTTAAAAAATAAAATAAAAATGAGCACCATTAGCTCCAGTTATGTGAAAAGAAAACATAACTGGAGCTAATGGTGAGTTATGCCACAACAAGCTGATGGAGGACTTCCATGACGCACTCAGCACCTTACTCATCACTCACTACTACTGCATTCAAATCATTACTAATTACTAAACTCTTAATCTTTCTCCCATATGTGTCTTTTGTTCCATTTCCCTCTGCACTCTTCTCTTTCCCCTCACTCACAAATGATCGTGGCAGGTGGATGTTTTCACCCTACAATATAAAATGCCATGAGGTAGGTGTTCTTGTGAATTGGCACTAGATAAATGAAATTGAATTCATTTAATTTAATTTGAATTAATTTAATTTAAAAAAATGTATAAACAGAAGATGATTACTTTGCAAAAAGTTGCAGACAGGATATAAACTGCCTCTTAGCTCTTGAATCACAGAAGTTACATTAAGCTGTAACTTGATAACAAACAGGATGAACCTACAAATGACAGTGTTGTGAGTGTCAGCTTTAAGAGGAGATGGCGTCATGAAAGTACAGAAAGCTATAGGCAATCAATCTGACCATGATTAATCCCCAAGATTAAGATGTTCACAGTATTTCTCACTTGTGAAAATTAGTTCTTTTGATCTGACAAAACAAGATTTTATGACATTTTTCAGATGAAGTAATTCATTGGATCTCAATCAATCAGGACATTAGGTGATAATGAAAACTACTCTATGGAGGTACTCTGTGCCTCCAGCTTTCGTCTTTCAAACAGAACACAAAATTTTATACTGTCACCAACTTTAGGAAACTGTTACAGGCACGACATTATATTAACTGAACTGAAACAACCCTTAGGTTTGTTTCTGTTCCAGCCCTTCTGATGCAGAGCGAGAAATGATACAAAATTAGCAAAGTGATAATCAGTTTAACACTGTGTAACATGTACCACTAACACCATAGGTATCATTTCTATTGGCATATGTTTTTTGGTGATACAAACCAGACTAACTGTTGAGTAATTATAGGTGACTGCCATCAACACAGAAAATAGAAAAAAGGAGAACTTGTGTCAGATATGCGGCTCAATAACTGTCAGTGACTTAGTTTAAAATAAATAAATAAATAAAAAATAATTTTTTAAAAAGGACAAGACACGCTGATTTAAACTAGCGTCCTTGTGGAAATGTCAGTTTCCACACGAGAAGCATGATTTGTTTTGTTTCCATAGGAAGTAAATATGGTGCAAGATGAGAGACCGTAGAGATGAAATATGTGGCTGTTTCAAAAATAACACTGGCTACATCAGCCAAACTGACTTAATGATACTTTATCTTGAAATAGAATTTATGACTTGACAGGCCTCAAGAGAAAAATACAAAGCTGTTTGGGTTTTTTGCATCAGCAAACACTGGTCTTGCCTTCTTCAGATAATACTGGATTTCTCACTATCGTCCAAAATTGTAAAGGAAAGACAACAATTTAATAGTCCAATTATGCTGCAAGGGACAGAACATAAAGAACTAATACAGACATATTGTATCATGTTATTACTTAAACAATTCCCTCTTCACACACCAAGCAAAGCTATTACTCTTTTCCAGTCATGTTTGTGTCCACCTGTTAAATATAAGTCTAATATTTACTCTCAGGCTTGCTCTGCACCAGCTCCTAAGTGAACCATCTGGCCATTAAGCTGCTAGATGTAGATGTGCTAGTTTCCAACTTTGACTGCTTGTTAGTTTAGTGCTGGGTACCTAATGTGCTGCAGGGGTTTATCTGTGCTTGTTCACTCAAAACACCTGCCTGCTGCTCCTGGAAACGAATGTGATGTGGGCAGAGCGTGGAAAACAGACAATTATACTGAATAGACTAAAACATCCTACAGAACTGAGGGATAATTCTCTGTGGATTTATCAAAACCTAATTCAAGTTCCACAGTCTTTTGACTAACTGTTACTGCTGAAATACTGATTAGTCCAATAGATTAGTCAAACAGAACCACATTCGTGGTTCTATTTGAAAGCAAAGTAGGTAGGACAATTTTGCTGTGAAACTACACTGTCCTACAAAAAGTGTGTCTTAAATCTTGCTTTATGCAGATCATAAAACAGAAGAATCCAGTAAATTATTTCACTCTTGCAAAATTTTAGTTTAAAAAAAAAAAAAGAGAATAAAGAGAAAGAGATAATAAAAAGAGATAATATATGTAAAGTGAAAATTAAACGATTTGTTGCTCATTCAATCCATTTATATTTTCTCTTCCAGTCGAAGGGATAATGCTGTATAACTCCTGTCTTTTGAAAGTCCTTCAGCATCTGTGACCAAGCCACAAAAAAAAAAATTAAAAAAAATATTAGGAAAAACCTAAAGGCTGGCAATACTGAAATGTCCAACCATTCAAAATTTACTTTGATCACCTTAACAGAGCTCATAGTCTTTCTCAAGTTGATTTGTAAAAATTATTTATAAAGTGCAAAAGCACATTTTATTAAAACAGCAGAACAATCACAGTTCATCCATTGCTTCCTGTATTGTAATGGTTTTTAAAACTCTTAATGCACACCACAGGGATAGCCAAAATATCAAAGCAAACCTCTGTAAAGTTGACTCTGACAGTCAACTTTGTATGTTCCTTGTTTCCTTACTTGTTTCACAAGCAAGAATGTTTTGTTTTATTTTTATTTTAATCTAACTTGTAAAAGGGTAATGCAAAACAATTCTTCTGTTATAAAGTCAAAGAAAGGCATCCAGATCATTAAAAGGGAGGGGAAAAAAAACAAAACAAAACATTGGATCAGCAGACAGATTATTCAATGTCCAAATGTTTGCTCCAGTAACACTGTTTAGTTTTCACAATCCCACAGTACACTAGGGATGCACCTCTGGAGTATGGTGCTTTGTACAAACATGTGTAACGTCACTTACCGTACTGAGAGCGTGAAGTCTCCTGGATTGCTTTTACTGGGTCTGGCTAAAAAGCTCCCGTCCACTCCACGAGTCAGCAGGAGGTTTTCAGCCTCCACACCTGTGATGTTGGGGTGAAACCACCTAAAAGAGGACAAGTAAACTAACAATTTAGACTTACTGTTAAGTACATGCATTTCATTTTTACTCATTATATAGTGCATTGTGTGAACTTTTTGCCAAAAATCCATACATTGCACAACAACAACATGACATAACTCAGAGTGGATGGTCAATTATAGTACTAAGAGGTGTTCAAAATTATGAATTAACTGCTTAAAACTTGATTATTTGCAATTTTCAATCCACTATTCAGAGACAGTATTATCAAAGTTCTTCTAAAAGCATGTAGTTTCATCTCCACTCACTTATCTGGGCATTTTGAAGTATCAATCAAGTTTAATTTTAATGCTCACCTGGACATGAAAGTTAAATCTGATTAAAACAGCTTAAATGTGTCAATGACTTACACATTAATGAGGATTTCAAAAGGCCACTGGGGAAGTTATACTCCAATCACCATCCTTGCTGTTAAAAATTTCTTGCCTAGATTTCAATAAAGGATTCCTTTGAGAGTCTTGTCTCTCTCTTATAATGTTTCTGGTATTATTGCACAGGATGCTTGCTGACAATGAGACTCATTTGGAACCAAGGGTAAAAAAGAGCCACACTGTCTCTGTCTTTCTTCACTTCCTCTCTATCCAACTCTGTATATTCCAGTAAAGACATTCAGAGGCTGACTGCGCTCTTTCTACAAGTTGCCACCCTGCACTCCCCCGAAAAGACTGCCTGCCTGTTTCACTCATGCGTCCATTGTGGTCATCTCCTGCCTCTGCCTCCCTGTGAATATTATTTTCATCTTTTGCCTCTCGTCTGTACAAGAAGTCTGTGTTCTGTGCACCATCTATATGAAATATATTTATTCCACTCGCTAACGATGACTTTTTAACGCGTTACATTTATTACCTAAGGAATTTAATTTACTTAAAATGTTGAAACTGCTATGACTTCTTCCTACTCTGCACATATCTACAACGTCAAAGTACTTCATTTCCGTTATTCTGATGCACTCCTGCTGTTTTCCCGTTTTCTTGTTAAAATGACTCGTTAATTTTTGTACCAATATGGGGTGTCTTATGCTCAGTTATTTGTAAATACAGCTGGTTTGACTTGGACAGCAGCTCAAACCATAACAAATCAATCCAACAAGATGTATCTGTTAACAGCAGCTGTAGCAGAGTTGGTTAACTTGAACTTTATCTATTAGTAACTACAGTTTGTGGACAGCTTAGCTTTGTATGTTCTGTACAAATGTTACAGCGCTGTTTACTTAACAAGTTGAGACTGCCTTAAGTTGCCGGTGTAACGCTAAATGAAGCAGCCCTACACCACCTATTTCTGTCTATTTCCAGAAACGTCGGAACTCTCATTGACTGTCTACCGACATACCAAGATCCAAACAGCTGAGTTCACTTAAAGTTAGCAGACTCAGCTAGCATTATCAGCAGACATTGTTTTCCAGACAGCCCCCGCTTACCTCCGAGATGTCATTTTTTTTCGTTCCTCACTTCCTCGCTGGCAGTTAGCAGTAGCTTTAATTAGCTGGCTAACGTTTCCCACCGTTAAAGCTTCAGTTACAGTATAAAGTGCTTCATTGGTTCACATCCGGTCAAAACGGGCACCTTAAATGTAGTTAAGCATCGACACCAATTTTTTTTATAGCGCCCGTTACAAAAAAAATGTCTCTAGGCCTCGGCCCCGGAGACTTCACAGCAAGTCGATTATTGGACGTCACCAAACCTGCGACAAAACAGAGGGTGTAATGGATTTTTTCACCCTGGGCGTCCGTTTCTCGTGGTCGCTTTAACCCGCTTAAATAAAAGCTACAGATCTCAGTCCGTCCGGTAAACGGCGTCAGATAAATTAAAGAGCCAGATCACTTTCACTCAGCGCATGCTCTTTAAAGGTTTTTTTACGATACAGCGGCGAAAGCGGTAAACGACGAAGAACGTCTGCGAAGGCTTCTCGAACAGTTCGTTGACTGTCTGTACTCACGGCAAAGGGAGATAAATTACATTTCATATGTTATTTGTGACGTAATTAGATGCGCTACCATTTTAAAAATGATATTATTAAACTTTCGTAATGTTTTGTTGTGGCGTCTAGGGTTATTAGAAACGCGTAGAAATAAATACAGATAAAAAAAATTAGTATAACAATTTCTTTTCTATTTGAACATTTACTTGCAATCTTTGAGCTATCTAATATTTGTCATTTGCTTTGTAAGCAAAATCATATAAAATATTTCACATAAAACAGACTAACTTAGGAGAAAGTCAAGTGGTGATGTAAGTAACTTTATCACTGAAGCATTGTACTCTTTTCCCCAAAATAGTACATCCATAAGACTGGTGAAAATGCATCTTGCTTTTAAATCCTTTTATTTATATTTGATCCAACAAATATAAATATTTGGACAAACCCATTAAAACCTTGGCCAACATTCAAGTCATGATGGATGAGATTTCAACCTTTCAAACAGGGTGCTGGTGTAAAATGCTAATATTGGCCATAGACAAAGGAAAAGAAGAGGAGGAGGGTGTGTTATGAGGCAATGAGAGCGTAGGAAAGACAGAAGTCTGGGGGTTAAAGTTGGCAGTATAAATATATTGTGGTAGATATATTGTTTATGCAGGAGACCAGATGGAAGGAAAGCAAGGCCAGGAGTATTGGAGGTGGATTCAAGCTGCTCTACCATGGTGTAGATAGAAAGAGGAGTGGAGTAGGGGTAAGGAAGAGTATGTGAACAGTGTTGTGGAGGTGAAAAGTGTCAGGCAGGAACATGAGTCCGAAGCTGGAAATCGAATGGTCGATGTTGAATGTTGTCAGTGCGCATGCAACACAGGCTGGATGTCAATTAGAAAAGAAAGACAAATTCTGGGGTAAGTTGAGTAAGTTAGATGAAGCAATAATGTCACCGGGGGGGGGGGCATTATTGTGATTGGTGCAAAATTCTATGGACATGTAGACAAAGGGAACAGAGGTATTTAGTGGGTAAGGTGTTAGAGAAATGCAGAGGGACGGATAATAGTACATTCTGCGAAAAGGATGAAAATGTCTGTACTAAACATGTACTTTAAGAAGAGGGAAGAACACAGGGTGACATAAGAGATGAGGAAGGTGCACACAGAGGGTCCACATCTTATGCAAAATGTGCAATCTGAAAGATATAGGAGACTGAAAGGTGGTGTCAGAGGAGAATGTCGCTAAACAGCATCAGATGGTTGTCTATAGGATGCCTTTGTACATTAAGAAGAGGAAGCGAGTGAAGGCAGAGGCAAGGAGTAAGTGAAAGAAGTTGAAGAAAGAAGAATGTTGCACAGAGTTCAGGAAGAAGTTGAGGCATGCTCTGGGTGGAAGGAAAGAGTTACCTGATGACTGGGAAAGTACAGCTTTAGTGCTGACACTGGTGTTTGGTGTATCCTCTGGACACAACCGGGTAAAGCAGACCTGGTGGTGAAATGATGAAGTACAAGAAACTATTGAAATGAAGAGGTTAGTAAAGAAGGAGTGACATATTTAGGAGATGAAAAAAATAGACAGGAAGGCTAGGAATACAGCAACGAGAGAGGTGGCAAAGAAAAAGGATTGTAGTGTGTTGTAAGTGACGCTAGAAATTAAGGAAGGAGAAAAGGACTTTTGCTGATTGGCTAAACAGAGAAATTGAAATGGAAAGTATATGCTGCAGGTTAGAGTGGTTAACCATAGAAATGAAAATGTGCTAACAATAGAAGAGAGTGTGTTAAGATGATGGAAGGAGCACTTTGAGGTGCTGATAATGCCAGAAAATGAGGACGATAGGAAAACAGATGGAGAAAAGTTAGTGAATCACAAAGAGTGGAGGATTAATAAGGAGGAAGTGAGGGCAGCAATGAAGAGGATGAAGAGTGCAAACCCAGTTTATCCAGATGACACACCTGTGAAGGCATAGAGATGTCTAGGAGAGACGTGTTCCAGGAGGTTGTGCTAAACAGTCTTTTGGTTCAAACTGTTTAATGTAATGTTGTAGAGTGACAGGAAACCTGAGGAATGGAGAAGAATCAAAATACTTTATTAAGCTGAGGGGAAATTATTTGGTCACTGTCACTCCAAGACAGTAAGAACAGTAACTTACTAAACTGAATTAAATAATACAAAATATTATAAAGTTACAAATCTAACAAAAAAGTATTCAAGTCTGTCACTCATGCCACACTACAAAAAAGTCTTACAGTGATGCACTGTGTCTTCAAGCAGTATTATCTTCAAGTAGAGTTTTGAACTGCTATGCAACATTAATAAATTACTATTATCATTATTATTGTTGTTATTGCAAAATGCTGTCAACTGATATCAATTGTTTTCATAATCGTGTACTATTACTTAGATGACTTGGTGCTGTTGTTTAGGATATTTTGTTATTATATTCTTATTATATATTTGTATAAACATATGTATTTTACTCATTAAATTAGTGCATTTTCACTTATGTTCTTTTGATTTGATTTTTTTATAAATCAATAAATAAAAGTATTTACATTCAGTGTAAAAACACAAATTATAGTAAACTAAAGAACATGAGTCTTTAAGTATTCGCGTTGCACATAAGGAGTCTTTACGGGGTTGACTTTGGCAAGTTTACATAGACTTAAGGGACTTCTTCCAATAACAAATGAGAAAACGAAAAGTTGCCTTTCACTTCCTTTTCAGTGTGTGTCACGTATCCTCGGAGGTTTGGCCCTCGCAGGTACCCGTGCAGTAAGCCCGTACGTGGCAGTCTGAGAGCAGCACAGAGTAGCCGAGCTTGTTGCGGCTCCTCTCCTGCAACAGTCCACTCACACAAACTGGATATACAGTAGCGAGGAAATTTTTTATACCGTCAGATTTATTTTTACGCTTTCCACACAACCACTGAAACATGTTTACCTTGTCGGAGCTAGTTGTCTTGCTGGCCGTCCTGTCGGCCACTGCTTCTGGTTACTTCGTTAGCATAGACGCCCATGCCGAGGAGTGCTTCTACGAGCGGGTCAACTCCGGCACCAAGATGGGCCTCATGTTTGAAGTGGCCGAAGGAGGCTTCCTGGACATCGACGTCGAGGTGAGATGTTTCATTCGGATAGCAAAAGAGTCACCTAACGCGAGGCAGGATGTACTTGTAAATCATAAAATGCAATGCAACACAAGGCCTGTGCTAATGCTAGCTATTAGCCGGTACCGTTTGGTAAAACTAGTTGGGTGCAAAGCAGGTGTAAAGGATTTAACATACAGTTGAATGGAAAACGTTAGAATTTACATCTTACAGAGTTGCTTTTTTTAGTTTCCCGCTAAGAGCTGCTCCATAATGATGATTAAATTACCCATTATGATATAGGAAGTGCAGCATTAGCATTGTTTCTAAGTTGCTAATTATGTAGCTAATACGATTATTGATTATTGAATAGTTAATGCGCTGTAGACGTTGTAGGATTTGTTTATTTTCGCTAGTTTTAAGCAGAAAATCTAGCTATTTCTGCAGTCTGACTTAGTTTCTGCCATATGTTTCCTAAAGCACATCATGCCCGTCATGTTATTCTCCAGTCATGCAGCAATGTCAGTTATTCAGAAATTCTTCTATCTCCAGATAACAGGACCTGACGGTAAGCAAATTTACAAAGGGGACAGAGAGTCCAGTGGGAAATACTCGGTGGCAGCGCACATGGATGGAACCTACAAGTTCTGCTTCAGCAACAAGATGTCAACCATGACACCCAAGATTGTCATGTTCACCATTGATATCGGAGAGGCTCCCAAAGGCCAGGATATGGAGACAGAAGGTACACAGTGGGGATTTATGTAGTTTAACCGCAACTCTTTTTATTCCCGTTGCTTTTAAAATGATTGTTCCTTTTATTAATTTCTTATTTTTTGACTTTATTATGTGGATTCACTGTTTCCCTCTTCGTAGGTGGTGACAGCTGGGATGGTAGGGCACAGCAGGCTTTGACTAAACTACTGTTGTGAAATAAATTTTTGAGCTTGTGATGCACTGCAGTCTTCTCTAACCAGAGTTGCTTCTGTAGTAAAAACTAATTAAGCATACATAAGACAGACGTGGTGATGTTTGCGAATGATTTGACTTGTTGCACATGTTGAGAACATGTATGAAGTATAAATGTCTCTGATAATGGGACAGCACTGGCAGATACATGCATCACAGGTGTGAAAAGGATATGCACATCTTGCATGTTTTTGTTGTTGTTTGTTTTTGGGGTTTTCTTTTTCAAATGGGGGTAGCAGGGTTCCTTACCACTGTGTTGTGACTCATCACTGACAAGTCACTTTTCTCTTGTTTCAGCCCACCAAAACAAGCTGGAGGAGATGATCAACGAGCTGGCAGTTGCCATGACAGCCGTGAAGCACGAGCAGGAGTACATGGAGGTCCGTGAGAGGATACACAGAGCAAGTAAGAGCTTTTACATTAAGTCCAATAACCATTGTAATCATAAGTGTAAATAAATCTTTATAATTGTTCTCCTCTTCTTCTCCATCCAGTCAATGACAACACAAACAGCAGAGTGGTCCTGTGGTCATTCTTTGAAGCTCTGGTTCTGGTGGCAATGACACTCGGACAGATTTACTACCTGAAGCGATTTTTCGAAGTGCGGCGAGTGGTGTAGTGCTATTCAAATGATACTCCTCTGTGTCCTCCACTGTACTTTTTTGTTTTGTTTTGTTTTTCCCCTCCAACACCAAGACAGTTATTTACACTGTGGAAATGAGAGTGGCAGTTTTGAGTAAAGCCTACATGTGATTGGATCTCAGAGGTTTTGTTCTCTTGTTATCTGTTTGGTTTCTTCTTTATAAATATAATTTATGTTTGGAACGAATGGCCAAAAGATTGTGGGATAAATTTCAGTTTATTAGTTTTTCTTTTTAACAGATCTGTTTAATTACAGTTAGTACAGCTGTTTCCTGTGC